GTTATAAAACATATCGTTGTGTGTGATTTGATGAGTATGTACACGCAAGAATTTGAGTCGATGTTTATCCATTCCTTTTACCCTTGGAGGCATAAAAGCGATATCCATGGGCCCCACGATGATTTAGTGATGCAACCCTAAGCGCTCGGCCGAGCCTGGACTGATTTGATTTGTTCAATTAGTCGGTCGTCATAAATCGAAAATCGGGTAACAACAGATGGACAGAGAGATTGATTATAATCCATGTCTCAGTCCATATGATATCTTTTAGAATGGAGGAATATATGATCCCTTATCCAATAGACGCGTCCTTGACTAGATCAGAGTTCGACAACAGCTTTTAAGAGCTGCGATTGCTAGTCGGGTTGTGGAATCGTACTTGCAATAATAGTTATTAAACTTATCCAAGTGGGAGAATGTTGGATTAATGTCTAAGTCCATAACTATATTTGGTATGTACTTGACCTGATTTAGCATGGTCCATTTGGGTTGCACTTCACCGGAACAATTTGGACTTTTGAGAAGAGGATATGTATGATTTATTAATATATTAATATGAAATCGTATTATTTAATTAGTATTGATGATGAGTTAATTTGGAATTAATTTTGTGGTCAAAGGAGACTAATTAAATATATAAGGATTGATTGTGTAAATCGTTCATTCTTATAATGTGGGCTAATTGTAACATCCCAATTTTCAGGTCCAAAAAATTCTTTTTAATTAACCAACACATAAAAACATTCATAAGAAAATACTGCGAAAACACATCATCTCATAAAACAATGTATCAAGTCTAAAAACCCAAGCCATAGAATAATAACATATCAGAGTACAATCCCAGAAAACTCCATGCGGAAACCATATGTGTGTGTGTGATGCGATGCTACGCCGCCGGCTCCTTCCCCTTAGACGAAGAGGTACCTGAAACCAAAACCGAAACCGTAAGCACAAAGCTTAGTGAGTTCCCCCATCATACCACATACCATACAATATCATCGGTATCTCTCAACCAGTAATCATCATCGATATCTTTCAACCGGTAATCAACATCGGTATCTTTCAACCAGTAATCGTCATCGGTATCTTTCAACCGGTAACCATCGTCGGTATCTTTCAACCGGTAACCATCATCGGTATCTTTCAACCGGTAACTGTCATCGGTATCTTTCAACCGGTAACTATCATCGGTATCTTTCAACCGGTAACTGGGGACTATTCCACCCCTACCACTAGCATACAACAGCAAGGTACAATCATACAGTCAGGCATATCCGGGTACTGACCTACCCCATGGCCCTAAGGGCCGCTGTCAGGGATCCTAATCCCTACTATACACGTAACATATCATGCAGATAATACTCGTGACCAAAGCACATAACCAAACCAAGATAATTATCAGAAAGACGATCATCTTACAAATACTCCTCTTTGGTGGGCCGGCATTGTGGCCTTAGACCCACCCCTACTGGAAGGTAAGTCACCTCGATGTCGTGCAGTGTTTGAATTATCCTCAGCGCACAAGTCGAATCCCCTGGGCCCTACACGACGACCTTCAAGTCAACACAGAGCCAGTACAACCCTAAAGAGGGTCAGTCCAAGTCTAGTCAAAGTCAACTTCAAGTTGAGCCGACTCGCCGAGTTGGGCCGTCAACTCGCCGAGTCCTTCACCCTTTACTCGTCCTTATCCATGACCCGACTCGTCGAGTTGGGCCGTCAACTCGACGAGTTCCTCCATCAGATGAACATCGCATGAAACTCATCTGACTCGCCGAGTTGATGAACAACTCGTCGAGTTCACCTTCATCTAATGGACAAGTTATGTCCTCGACTCGCCGAGTTGATGAACAACTCGTCGAGTTCATCTTCATCCTTAAGAAGATTGCCTTGGACTCGCCGAGTCTGTTCTAGCACTCGTCGAGTCCCATGAAGACCAGGTCTAAAATCACGTCCAATACATTGGGTAACTCTTCCTGTCCGATTACAACCCTTCTAACACTCAACTGGGTTCCTTTGACTCTCAACAGATATGAGGCTCAAAGCCTCGGACTCGCCGAGTCCAAGAACGGACTCGTCGAGTCAGTTATGTCCACACTCTAAATCCTTGAATTCTGATGTACAACCTTTGATCAAAAGATAGATCCAAGCTTCTATAATCGATCTATCACGTAAAGTTACAAACTTTACGTGCTTGCATGAGACTTTGAGCTCAAAAAGACATAAAACAAGCTCTTAAGATGCATGGGGCCTTTCATGGGTGCAAAAGCAGTCCCCAACTGCCTTGTGACTCCTTTAATGACGTGATTCCGAAGCTCTAACCCCCAACCATGTTTGCAATCATGGTTGGCCATCGAAAGTGGCTTATAAAAGCCCTAAATCTCCCCAAAAAGGAATCTAACAAATGAAAGAGCAAGGTTACAGCTTTTTACCTTCAATGAACTGTAGAAGGTGCACAAACTCGGGTTCCCTTAGTCTTTACTTGCGTCCTCAAGCCTTTCTCCTTCCTTCTTAAGACCACAAGCACCAAAATCCACCAACAAGGCTTAGATTGCTTCAATAACGGCTAGGGTTTCAATGAGAGGTGTTATGGGAGCATAAGGGACGTTGTGGACGACATAACATTGTTTAAATAGGGTGCAAACCCTCGGATTAGGGTTTTTGTCCAGTCAGAGTCTACTCGTCGAGTCCGTGACCCGACTCGACGAGTCCATCACTTAAATCCCGCGCCTCATCCCGCTTTTACTCGGCGAGTTGGTCCTTCAACTCGCCGAGTCCAAGGCCAAAAATGCAAAAATACTTAAATAAAAATACATACCAAGAACCAGGTGCTACACTAATGATCCATGATTCCTTATGTTGGGATTAACTCATGTGGTGACCCATGGATACTCTATGGAGGTTAAAATCCATGGATCATGAGAACTGTGGAAAGTCATGCACATTAGGGTTTACATGGTGTAACCCTAATGTAACCATATTATATAAGCACTACATCGGTGCTCCCCATGACCCTCTGGCCAACCTCGCCCCATCATCCCGGGGTCCTGCACTTCCTCCCGTACAACATCTCGAAGGGAGGTCGATCGATACTCGCATGATAGCTATTATTATACGAGAACTCCGCCAACGGAAGGTAGGTATCCCAGCTACCTTAGAAGTCTAAAACATATGCCCGCAGCATATCCTCTAGCGTCTGGATGGTCCGCTCGCTCTAACCATCCGTCTGCGGGTGAAAAGCGGTGCTGAAATGCAGACGAGTACCCAGCTCGTCATGAAACTTCTTCCAAAACCTAGAAGTGAACCGTACATCCCTGTCGGAAATCACTGAAACTGGCACCCCGTGCCGCGACACCACCTCCCGGATATAGATGTCGGCCAAATTCTCGGCCGAGATACTCTCCGGAATCGAAATAAAATGAGCGCTCTTGGTCAATCGATCGACGATAACCCAAATCGAATTCACCCCTCGCGCGGTCCTGGGAAGCTTTGTGATAAAATCCATCGTAATATCCTCCCATTTCCACAGCGGGATATCCAATGACTGCATCTTGCCGTGTGGCCTCTGGTGCTCGGCCTTGACCTTCCTGCAGGTCAAGCACCGCTCCACGTACCATGCTACGTCCCGCTTCATGCAGGGCCACCAATAATCGTGACGAAGATCTCTATGCATCTTCGTCGCTCCGGGATGGATAGAAAATCTGGATTTGTGTGCCTCCTCCATCAGGATCTGGCGCACGCCTCCATGATAAGGGACCCACACCCTATGGTGAAGAGTCAATAACCCTCGACTATCATAGTCGAAGGAGGAAACCTGCCCCACAATCCGCTCGCTCTTCCGATGTTCCTCCTTCATGGCCTCCTGCTGGGCCTCCCGAATCCGCTCCAACAGCGGAGTCACCACTGTCATCCTCAGACAGATATCCCTGATCGGCACTGCCTTGCGGCAAAGGGCGTCGGCCACCACATTGGCCTTCCCCGGGTGGTAGAGGATCTCACAATCTTAATCCTTTACGACATCAAGCCACCTACGCTGCCTCATGTTCAGATTTGGCTGGTCCATGAGATACCTCAGGCTCTTGTGGTCCGTGTAAATCGTACAACGAACCCCATAGAGGTAATGACGCCAAATGTTGAGGGCGAACACAACAACACCCAACTCCAAATCGTGCGTCGGGTAGTTCGCCTCGTGAGGCTTCAGCTTCCTTGAAGCGTAAGCAATAACATGCCCTCTCTGCATCAATATTGCGCCCAAGCCCGAGATGGACGCATCACAGTACACGACGAGATCCTCCATGCCCTCGGGCAGGGCTAAGATTGGCGCCTCGCACAATCTCTGTCTCTGTGTCTCGAATGCAGCCTGCTGCTCAGGCCCCCAACGAAAGACCACGGCCTTCCTCGTTAGCCTGGTCAGGGGTAAGGCTATCTTGGAGAAATCCTGGATGAATCTCCGATAGTAGCCGGCTAATCCCAGGAAACTCCGAATCTCAGATGGAGACCTCGGAACCTCCCATCTCATCACGGCCTCCACTTTGGCCGGATCTACCGAAATCCCGTTCTGGTTGACAAGGTGCCCAAGAAACTGCACCTCGCGCAACCAGAACTTGCACTTGGAGAACTTAGCATACAAGCTCTCCCTAATCAAAGTCTCCAGAACCTTTCGCAGATGCTCCACATGATGCTCTCGCGTCTTGGAGTAAACCAAGATATCATCGATAAACAATATCACAGACCGGTCTAACATCGGTCTACACACGCGGTTCATGAGATCCATGAACGCGGCAGGAGCGTTGGTGAGCCCGAAAGGCATCACCATGAACTCATAGTGGCCATAACGCGTCCGAAACGCCGTCTTCTGTACATCCTCCTCTCTGACCCTCATCTGATGATACCCTGAACGCAAATCAATCTTGGAGAACCAAGACGCTCCTTGTAGCTAGTCAAAGAGGTCATCAAACCTTGGGAGTGGGTAATGGTTCTTCACCGTTACCTTATTCAGCTCCCTATAGTCTATACACATCTGATGCGACCCGTCCTTTTTTCTTCACGAACAGAATCAGGGCTCCACAGGGAGAACTACTCGGTCTAATGAATCCCTTGTCTAACAGCTCCTGCAGCTGTGTAGACAACTCCTGCATCTCGGGAGGAGCCAACCGATACGGTGCCTTGGCTATCGGAGCCGCACCAGGGACTAGGTCGATCCTGAACTCCACCTGTCGCTCCGGAGGTATCCCAGGCAGCTCCTCGGGGAATACGTTCGCGAACTCTCGCACCACGGGCACATCGCCCACCGTCGCCCTACCCGCCTCCCGGGTATCCATAACATAGGCGACATAACCTGCACAACCCTGCTGGAGGTAACGCCTAGGTCTCGCTGCTGAACATAAAGCTGGTCCTCGCAGTGGCCTCTCACCCTGAATTACCAGCTCTCCCCCACTTGGGGTCCTGATCCGCACCAACTGCTGCGCACAGTCAATCACTGCCCCGTTGGGGCTCAGCCAATCCATACCGATAATAACCTTATTCCCCCGCAAAGGTATGGGAACCAGATCTACCAGATAACACTCCTCAAACAGTCGTAGGACGCAATCTCGGTAAACCTCCGACGCTCGTACCGACCGGTCGTCCGCAATCTCGACCTCTAGAGGGCAATCCAGCATGCCCGAAGACTCAGGAAACTTCTTGCTAAGCGCAAGAGAGACAAATGATCGCGTGGCACCCGAATCAAACAATAACTGAACTGGGATACCGTTCACATGGAACGATCCTAAAGAGTACACATACATAACATATCAAGATCACAGCGCCATATCATAAAAGCATAAGAAAGGAACCATACCCGTCACTACATCAGGTGCATCGCGTGCCTCCTCGGCTGTCAACTGAAATGCTCGGCTCCGCACCACTGGAGCCTCTGTCTTGGCCTTCGGGCCTTCGGGCAATCTGCAACCCGCGCTGTCGCTGAGACCGGCGCCACTGTTGGCGCCGCTGCTGACAATCTCGGGCAGTTGGTCTTTTTATGGCCCCTCTGATTGCAATGGAAGCAAATCAGGTCTGTCATCTGTACCGCAGGAGTAGGGGCGGTACAATCTCTGCCAAAATGCCCAACCTTGCCGCACTTATAGCAGCCTGAATCCGACCCAGTACGGCAAGCTCCCTCGTGTGACCGACCACATTTCCCACATCGGTCCCGCCCAGAATGGCCTTTCGGCCTACCATCGGATCCCTTGGGCTTCTTCCCCGAAGCCCCCGTCGTCAGCCCCTCCGCTGCCTTCCTTTTACAGATGTGCTCCAGATCAATCTCCCTCTCCCTAGCCCTGGCAATCATGGAATCCAGGGTAGGGTAAGCTGAGAAACTGACATGCTCCCAGATGTCAGCTCGTAACATATCATGGTAGCGGGTCCTCCTCATGTCCTCGTCACCCGCATACTGGGGCACCAACAATGCCCTCTCCCAGAACTTGGCGGTGATCTCCGCCACAGTCTCCGTAGTCTGTCTCATGTCCAAGAAATCTCTCGCCAGCTGCTGAAGCTCCACAGCTGGCGCAAACTCCGCCCTGAATCTGGTCACAAAGTGTGACCAGGTCATAGCCTCAACAGCCGAGGCTCCCAATGAGTCACCAACAGACTCCCACCAATCTCTAGCTCTGTCTCTCAAACACCCTGCTGCATATCTCACCTTCGACCCCTCAGGGCAGAAGCTGGTCAGCTGCGCAGAATCGATGTCTGCGATCCATCTCCTAGCAGCAATGGGGTCTTTCACCCCATGGAAATCCGATGCACCGCTCCCTCGGAAGTCCTTAAAGGACAGTGTGCGCGTACTCGTCTGGCTAGACACCATATCACTCCTGAATGCCCCGAGGTGATCCTCCATCAGCTCAACAATCCCTTCCTTGAGCGACCCAAAAATGACCGGGGTCGACTCAAGAATGCCTCTCGTGATCTCAGACGCGATGAACTCGCGCAGCCCGTCATCAACCTGCTCAGATCCTACACCCGACCCCGATCCTGATCCTGATCCGGAACCTCCTGCTCCATGTCGTGTGGTCACCATGCTGAAAACACACGCATAAATGTCAGGATCATACATACTTCCAAGAGGCCTAACACACTTTCCATGGTTCTCGGTTCCATCTAGGCCCTCCTTGATTCGAGTACGGATCCTCTGCTTCCAGTAGTACGGGCCCATACTACCTTCCACATCTATCCATGCTTTCCTCAAGGACTGCTTCGACTTCACCGATACCCCTTTCCACTGACCTCATCCTAGGTTTTCCTAGGGCACTCTCCGACCTACCCTCCGCCATCAGCTCCAATAGGAGTCCCCACCACTTCCCCCTAACTAACTTGCTGATACTGTTACATATCCGTTCCTTAGCTAGTTGAAGGTGGCCAGAACCCACATAGCACAAAGCAAGCAGCATTCGAGCATTGGGTAACCAAATCAGGCATAACCTACACATGCCATCCTACTGCTGACTAAACAGTCCTAGCATACAGCTCATACAACAGGCATATAAGGCATCCTCCTAGATCCTTAGCCCTAACTAGCATGCAATTCTCAGAATCATATATCAGGCACACAAGGCATCCTCCTAGATCCTTAGTCCTATTCTAGCATGCAGTTTTCTGAATCAAAACCATATAGCATAACATATCAAGTATGGGTATCTTGGGGAAAACTTACTTAAGCCCGGCCGGTCGCATGCATCACACACTTCGTCTTTCTTAAAATCCTTCCATTTAGATTTTTGAAAACCATTTTTCCTTGTAAAAACCTTTTAGCACCTCAGTTTGAGTCCAGACACCCCCGAGGGTGTGTCCGAATCCTTCAAACCAGGGCTCTGATACCAACTTGTAACATCCCAATTTTCAGGTCCAAAAATTTCTTTTTAATTAACCAACACATAAAAACATTCAGAGTATAATCCAAGCCATAGAATAAAACAATGTATCATGTCTGAAAACACATCATCTCATAAAACAATGTATCATGTCTGAAAACCCAAGCCATAGAATAATAACATATCAGAGTATAATCCCAGTAAACTCCATGCGGAAACCATATGTGTGTGTGTGATGCGATGCTACGCCGCCGGCTCCTTCCCCTTAGACGAAGAGGTACCTGAAACCAAAACCGAAACCGTAAGCACAAAGCTTAGTGAGTTCCCCCATCATACCACATACCATACAATATCATCGGTATCTCTGAACCGGTAATCATCATCGATATCTTTCAACCGGTAACCAACATCGGTATCTTTCAACAGGTAATCATCATCGGTATCTTTAAACCCGGTAACCATCATCGGTATCTTTCAACCGGTAACCATCATCGGTATCTTTCAACCGGTAACTGTCATCGGTATCTTTCAACCAGTAACTGTCATCGGTATCTTTCAACCAATTACTGGGGACTATTCCACCCCCCTACCACTAGCATACAACAGCAAGGTACAATCATACAGTCAGGCATATCCGGGTACTGACCTACCCCACAGCCCTAAGGGCCGCTGTCAGGGATCCTAATCCCTACTATACACGTAACATATCATGCAGATAATACTCGTGACCAAAGCACATAACCAAACCAAGATAATTATCACAAAGACAATCATCTTACAAATACTCCTCTTTGGTGGGCCGGCATTGTGGCCTTAGACCCACCCCTACTGGAAGGTAACTCACCTCGATGTCGTGCAGTGTTTGAATTATCCTCAGCGCACAAGTCGACTCCCCTCGACTCCTAGATACCTACACGACGACCTTCAAGTCAACACAGAGCCAGTACAACCCTAAACAAGGTCAGTCCAAGTCTAGTCAAAGTCAACTTCAAGTTGAGCCGACTCGCCGAGTTGGGCCGTCAACTCGCCGAGTCCTTCACCCTTTACTCGTCCTTATCCATGACCCGACTCGTCGAGTTGGGCCGTCAACTCGACGAGTTCCTCCCTCACATGAACATCGCATGAAACTCATCCGACTCGCCGAGTTGATGAACAACTCGTCGAGTTCACCTTCATCTGATGAACAAGTTCTGTCCTCGACTCGCTGAGTTGATGAACAACTCGTCGAGTTTATCTTCATCCTTAAGAAGATTGCCTGGGAATCGCCGAGTCTGTTCTAGCACTCGTCGAGTCCCATGATCTCCAGGTCTAAAATCACGTCCAATACATTGGGTAACTCTTCCTGTCCGATTACAACCCTTCTAACACTCAACTGGGTTCATTTGACTCTCAACGGATATGAGGCTCAAAGCCTCGGACTCGTCGAGTCCAAGAACGGACTCGCCGAGTCAGTCATGTCCACACTCTAAATCCTTGAATTCTGATGTACAACATTTGATCAAAAGATAGATCCAAGCTTCTATAATCGATCTAGCACGTAAAGTTACAAACTTTACGTGCTTGCATGGGACTTTGAGCTCAAAAAGACATAAAACAAGCTCTTAAGATGCATGGGGCCTTTCATGGGTGCAAAAGCAGTCCCCAACTGCCTTGCGACTCCTTTAATGACGTGATTCCGAAGCTCTAACCCCCAACCATGTTTGCAATCATGGTTGGCCATCAAAAGTGGCTTATAAAAGCCCTAAATCTCCCCAAAAAGGGATCTAACAAATGAAAGAGCAAGGTTACAGCTTTTTACCTTCAATGAACTGTAGAAGGTGCACAAACTCGGGTTCCCTTGGTCTTTACTTGCTTCCTCAAGCCTTTCTCCTTCCTTCTTAAGACCACAAGCACCAAAATCCACCAACAAGGATTAGATTGCTTCAATAACGGCTAGGGTTTCAATGAGAGGTGTTCTGGGAGCATAAGGGACGTTGTGGCCGACATAACATTGTTTAAATAGGGTGCAAACCCTCGGATTAGGGTTTTTGTCCAGTCAGAGTCTACTCGTCGAGTCCGGGATCCGACTCGACGAGTCCATCACTTAAATCCCGCGCCTCATCCCGCTTTTACTCGTCTAGTTGGTCCTTCAACTCGCCGAGTCCAAGGCCAAAAATGCAAAAATACTTAATAAAAATACATACCAAGAACCAAGTGCTACACTAATGATCCATGATTCCTTATGTTGGGATTAACTCATGTGGTGACCCATGGATACTCTATGGAGGTTAAAATCCATGGATCATGAGAAATATGGAAAGTCATGCACATTAGGGTTTACATGGTGTAACCCTAATGTAACCATATTATATAAGAAGCGCTTTGGTTCAAGAAATTGGCACCTAGAGTCTTTGCAAGAGTGTGGCCGATTTTTGTGAGCTAAAGAGTCCCCTTCCAAGTTTCCAAGTATTAGTGGTGATTTGTGATTCCATTTGAGGCATTCACATTATTGGTGCTAGGCTCTTGAAGCTCCAAGGAACAGGCTACAATAAAAGGTATGGTATCTAACTTGTTTTATTACTCAAGTATCAAAGCTTTGTATGCTAGCTAGGGTAATACCTTGGAAAATGAAAGCTTGCATGTGTAATAGAGAAAACATAGATCCAAGGTATTTAGGGTTGTATGTACACCTTAGGAGTGTTAGAATGCTCAAAACCCATCAGTAACATCCAAAAATCTAGGTATTTCATTTAGGCCCTTGAAGTATTTAATTTTGGATATTAAGGACCTTCCATAGGTTGGGCGTACATGTATGTACACTTAGTGTACAAAAGCACATGCATCGGGTGACTGAGGCTCGTACACGGGGCGTACAAGCATGTACGCGGGGCGTTTCAAGGCCGAAGACTAAAACCCTAATTTTCGGGCTTGAGACTTATTCAAGCTCATTTATGACCTTGGACCCTCTTCCTTACCAACCTCCATTACCCTCAAACTGTCCTAAAACCCTAGTTCCTTTGAGAGTGATTTTTGGGTCTAAAATATGGTTTATACTTTGCTTTTCTAGGCATTTATTGTTTTTGGTCTTGTGCCGAAAACTATCTTGGGTCTTGTTGTAGCTTGGACCGAAATCACATGTGATTTCGGTCTAGCTATTGAGGTTTGGGTACATAGGTATATATATATAGTGTAATAGGCGTGTTTTAGGGGGGAAAGCAAGGAGAAATCGTTTTGGGGCTGCCATTGTAGAGGGGGAGTGTGTTCTAAAGAGAGAAAGTAGAGAGAACTTGTAAGTGTGTGTGAATCTTGTGTATTGGATCATATTGAATATCATTGTATACATTGAAAATTCATCAAGTTCTTCTTCTTCTTCTTCTCTATTTGATCTTTCATCATCCACTTAATTGGGATTCCGCACTATCAAGTGGATCGGATTGATACATCAAAGCTATTTAGGGACTTACAAGTGGTATCAGAGCTTGGATTGTATCAATCATTTTGGCAAGATCTTGAACGTGTTTGGACTTTTTCTCGAAGGTTTTGGCGTTTTTGATTAGTTTAGGACAAAATATTGGGTGTTTGTTCTTCGTGTTATTCATAAAATTGAGTTTTAGATCGAGTTTAGCTTCAAAAAGGTGAAAAGTCATGTTTTTCAGACGTAATTTGCGAGGGTGTGGCGGCTAATTTTGGTTAGCAGCTAGGGTTTCCGAGGAGTTCACGGCCGAAAGCGAGGTTCGCGGTCTGAAGCGAGTTCACGGCCGAAAGCAACGTTTGCGGTGGAGCGTGCGAGGTTCTCGGTGGAGCGTGGTTTCGCAGGTTTTCGGCTTTAAACATTTAAGGTCTCGGTGTTCGGTCTTACATTTTCGGTCCTCGTGTTCGGTCTAGGTTTTTGGTGCGCAGCTCTTGCCTTCGTTTTCGGTCCTCGGTTTTCGGTTTTATTTTCGGTCAGAACCTTCTTGGTGCGATACTTCTTGGTCCACATGAGAAGCTTCGCAAGTTTAGCCTAAAAATCAATTTTTCGAATTTTAAAGTCTTGTTTTCGACCTAAGGTTTTGACTTTCAATTGTTGACTTTCAAGTTTGACTTGTGACTATCAAATTTGACTTTTGACCTTAAAAATTACCTTTGACTTTCAAGTTTGACCTTTGAATTTAAACTTTGATTACCTCGTTTAACTTTCAAGTTTTCATGTTTGGTTTTTCGGTTTGACTTTCAAGTCTGAATTTTTCAAGTGTGACTTTTTAAGTTTGAATTTTAAGGTTGACTTTCGAGGTTTCAAGTCAAAGGGAATTTTTGATAAACAATGAGTTCCTCAAACACCAAGGGTAATGAAGCTTCATGTTCTCGGTCTTGTGAAGCTAAAATTAAACATTATCGTGAGCAACATGATTTACTAAAAAGAGAATTTGAGGACCTTAAATATGAAGGATATACTCTTAGGAAGGACCCAAAAACCCTTAAAAGCACAACTAGAGGCCAAAACCAAGGACTTTAGAAAACTTCAAGAGGAATATAGCAACAAATGTGCGAATTATAACTTTGTTAAGGAACAACTTGCTAACTTGACTGCCGAACTTGATGTATTAAAAGCTAAATATAAAGATGTTTAATTCAACTTTAAGAAATTTGATGTGTCAAGTGAGGTAGTTGCATCCTTGATAGAAAAACAACTATAATTTAAAGATAATAAAAACAAGGGTCTAGGGTATCATCGTGTTTCACCTCCGTTCAATGACAATTACACCCCACCCCTTGAAACCAATGAGAAAGAAATACCTACTCAGTATGGCCAAACCCCTATGCCAGTTGTTGGATCAAAAATATGGTTTATACTTTACTTTTCTAGGAAAATAATATTTAGTTTATTTGTAGCTTGGACCGAAAACCCATGTGTTTTCGGTCTAGCATTGGGTTTGGGGCATGAGTTTGCGGTCGATATATATATATATATATATATATATATATATATATATATATATATATATATATATATATATATATATATATATATATATATATATATATATATATATATATATAGATGTAAGGGTGAGGAGCAAAGAAGAGCATTCATTCATAATCATATCTTAGAGAGAGAAAGTTAGAGAGAAGAAGAGTATGTGTGTGTGAATCTTGTGTTGGAGCATCAATCTTATCATCAATACATCATAGATTCATCTTCTTCTTCGTCTTCTTCTTCTCTATTTGAACTTGCATCATCCACTTCATTGGGATTCCGCACCATCAAGTTGATCTGATTGATACATCAAGCAAAATTTGAAAATTACTGTTGGTATCAGAGCTTGGATTGTATCATTCATTTTGGCAAGATCTGGAGCGTTTTTGCACTTTTTCTTGAACGATTTTACATTTTTGGATAGCTTTTGACAAAATATTGGGGGTTTGTTCTTCGAGTTTTTCGTAAAAACGACTTTTTGATCGAGTTTTGGAGCCAGAAAGGTTGAAAATCGTGTTTTTGTTCGAGA